TGGAAGTCTCAGAAGAATTTCTAGCCTTTGGAAAACTTAATTTTGTCTCCTTTTCATTTTATAAAATCATTTCATACATTGAAGAGTCATATTTTCAAAGGCTGACTTGCTATGAATACATCAAAAAGAGCACTTGTGCTTTTATATGCCTTCTGAGTGAGGATGTGGATTAAATCACTCTTCAGAGCATATTAGTCAAAAAAGGAATAATGGTTCATTTGTAACACTGTACATCAAAACTGCAGTATAGGGATGAAGCCAAGAATCAATATTATTTATCACAATCATGACACAAGCCCTGCTGCTGGCCTGAATTATCTACAGCAACCAGACCAGAGTAACAGGGAGCAAACAAGGGAGAAAGAGTTGGTGTTTAGGGGAATTTAGCTGAATTGGGTCTTCACCCAGTCAGCTATTAAATGCATTTCTACTGAAATTTCAGCAACACAGCTGAAAAGCAGATATATTTTGTAATTTGGATTACAAACTTATGGGAATCTATCTTAAAAAATTTTGACCAGATAGTGTGGTCTCTAGTGTAGCAATTTCATTTACATGGAAGATAGAACTGCGCATCTTTTCTTTTTTTTCTTTTAATTTGAGCAATTTACATGAAGTTTTTAATTAAAAAAAAAGGTTTATAAATCTTTTTAGTAAAAAAAATTTAGACATTGCCAAAGAAAAAAGCTATTATTTTCACCTCTATATATTAAAAAATTGAAAAATGTAGGAAAAAACCAGAAACCACAAATGAATTGAAGAACTGATAATGGATACTTTAGGTTAAGATCATTGAAAGGAAGACAAATGCACATGGATAGCCTTATGAACACAACCTGTCTTTAAATCAAATACTAGAATTAGGTGTTTAAGTGTCTCTAAGAACAAGGACAAAACATACCTGTTTATATATGACAAAATATAAATTAAGCTTTTCATCAGTTCACACGAATTTTCAACTTTTTTACATGGCTATTTTGGTTAGCTCACAAAAGCTTGAGATTCAAATCCAATCACAATGCATTAACAGTATAAAATGTATAGTATAAAGCATAGGATATAAGGAAAAGGCAAAAGGAAAAGTGTTAAAGTTGTAATAATTTCAGAGAAAGCATTTTAAATCCTTCAAGCTAACACAAGCAGTGTTATAACTTCAGGCATTCATCAAGTGGCTAATTGCTTATTTACTATTGCATGGTTGATTCAGTGAATGTTGTCACACCCTGTGGCTCCATTCTGAGGAGCTGTGCCATATGTCACCACTCACAGGTTGTGACACAGGAGGTCATTTATGGTCTGCTATGACCTTCTGACATGGAAGTGCAGTGTGAAAAAGCAAGATATGCAAGTTAGAGGGCAGAGGGTTGAAGTGCTTACTTAACTTACTCCAGATACTTGCTGGTGGGTATTTTGTAGGAATATGGAGAAATGGCATCCAAATAAAAGAGCATTATGACCCAGCTCTAGTACCTGGGAGAGCACTGAAATCCTTTGAAAGGAGAGGTCGCCAGGTCTTTATGAACCATTTCATGCATCTCTGGTCCACTGGTTTGGATACCTTCTCAAAGCTGTCTTTGTTTCTTCACCACTCAGAAAAGGCTCACAACTTCCTTCTCAAGTAACGACAATGGGAAAGAGATGGCGCCGAGTGTCGCTCAAGGTGACGCCTTTGACACTTTGTAAGGTCAAGCTCTACACCAATCACAAGTCTGAAATGCCTTCAGACTTAAATCCAGATCTTTTACAATTCCTCATTATAGACCATGATTCCATGCAACAAGGCTGCTGCAACTATTCTTTTGCACGAAATTATTATTTTTTTTTTAAGTGCATTTTTGACACCTACAATCAGGCACCTCTTAATGATAACACAAAATCAAACTAAATTGTTAAGTCAATATAGTATCAGTCATCATTTTAACCTCAGTTCTGATTCTTCACACAAATATCTCAAATAAGCAGCGATGAGGGCTGGAATAGTAGCCAAATAACATTCTTTTCCTATTTGTAGAAAAATCGGGTTGTACTTTTCAGTCTCATCCATTTTAATGTGTGACTCAAGCCAGTGTTTCATTCTGTTACATGTATCTACAGATGGTTAAGGGGAGAAAATCTAGGCATTCAAACTAGTTAATTGGTGAGTAACTACAGCTTGAGTTTTTAAATAACTCTAAAGTTAACTTATTTGTTTCCCAAAGGTTCAGGATGATTTTGTAGAAGCTCACCAAAAAAGTGACTGCTGTCCCTCAGGCAATCAGATTAGCCTTTAAATACAGAGAAGGTATCACACATTTGTTCTGTGAAGGCATTTTAATGATTTTTTAAATTATTATTATTTTTAGAATTAAAAAGATGAGCTAAGGAGAAACCATTCCCTTTCTGTAGAGCAACAGGTGACTCACAAGCCGAATTTTGAGAAGAAAGTTCACCAAAATAGGAAAAAAATGAAAGTTAGGAAGTGAAGAGACATAGTTTGATCTTGTGGAAAAACGTTAAAAATCAAAGTCTGAGTAACACTGCTTTCATCTTTAGGTGCAAACTCGTAAGCTCTTTCTCTGTGTTACATTTTAAAGAAGACAAAACCAAAAACCTAGCAAGATGGAAATATAATTTACCTTAATTTAAAAAAACCTGACAATTTTGTTATCACACTATGAGAATTTATATGACACAAAATGATAAATTCCCCAAGGCTTCTGCAAACTTTATATGGATACCTCCTAAATCACTCAAAAAGCTGTACTATGCATATGAAAAGTTAGAGAATGCAGTTTGCCTTTTTATTTGAGTTTACTGAGTGCCTTTTTTAATAGCTCCCTCCAAGTGACCTGTCAGGTGGGATTAGAAGGACAAAGATAATGTTAATGAAAAAGCCCTGAGTTGCAAGAATTCAGATCTGATGGACAGCCAGGGCTCAGGTAACTCCTCAGTTTTTTGCAGGAAGCAGAAATTGCAATTTTGGAGAAATGTGATTGTTCCATTAATGTATCTGAATAATTAAATAACATAACCAGTATAAGTATTCTGATTATACAGCCCTAGATTTGAGACCTCATCCCCTGCCACTGCCCAGCCACCACGGAGGCAGATGTTGAGACCACTGGTGCCTGGCCAGCCAGGGTGGAAGGCAATATCCAATGCTGCTTGAATAGTCAGTCCCCATCTTCTTGGAGAGACAACTCAAACTCACAGAAGCATCCACTTGCTGGATGACCTCATGGCTGCCTCCTGGACCATACTGATACTGATAACTAAGGTTAGGTTTTGAGAAACAGAAGGAAATTGTCTAATTTGTTCTAACACTTGGTAGATGTTCTAATGGCGTGGGAAAAAAATTATGTCTATATCTGCTTTTGAAAATCTCGCCTTAAATATCTAAACTGGCATGTCCTTACTGTGGGTGGTGACACTGGTTAAAAATGCTCATTGATTTCAGTAAGCAGTAAAACAAGCCTTTAAGTCTTATAACTCTGAGCAGTCTAATTGAAGTTAGTAGTAGCACAGAGTTTGGAAGGATGACACTCTATATACTAATGTTAACTTTTGAAGGTGATCCAAGTAATTAAAATTACTAGAGACTTTTTCCTTTTACAAGAAATTTTAAATTATGTGTCCAACTTAGATCAAGGGGCAGACTTTATAACTTTCAAGTTCCCCCATAAACAATCTCATACAGGTAGTGTTAAACAATACTACTTAGTAAAAACATAATTACTTGTCAAATGAAAATTAATATATGGTCCTACATCATAGTTCTTGAATATCTGCAAATAATGTTTTACAGTATTGCATATGATAAAATATCATATAATTTTCAGTTGTAAGAAGGAAAACAACAACACTTCCTTGTCTGTTATTCAAATCTCATACTCAGCAAGGATTTGAAGAGTAATCAAAAATCTTCCTCCTAGTTTTGAGGACTTACAAGTAGCCCAGAGGGCTTGTTTCACTCTGTGCCCTTCTCCTGACCCTGGTATTTTCCTCTGTGCATTTAAAAAAACCCAACACAATTAAGACTTCTTTATTTTGTGGTGTGGTGAGCTTCACATTTAAACTGTTGCCAGTGAACAGGATGACCCTCTAAATACTCTGGACATGGTCAGTCAGGGGACTGATCGGTTGTCCTTAAGCTCATGAGATAGACAATCATCTCCCGTGTGAACTTGAGAGACTGCAGATAGCCCCTGCGAGAGTTCATGGGCAGGAAGAGACCTCATTTGGAATGAGAACCTGCTTGAAGCCTCTTGCCCAGCAAGACATCACCAGTGATTAATTGTTCTAAGGAATCAGAGGGGGAAAAATACTGTTGTGCGTTAACTTTGAATTTTATTTTTATTTACTGATTGATTTTTTTAAAAATAAACTTATCCTGTTAAAATACCAACACCAGTTGTCAGACAGCTCTTGATGAAACTGTCCTCTGCCCTCCATGCAACTAGTTCAGCCAAGGTAATAAAACAACCTACTAAAAACAAAGCTTGTGGCAGCTTGGGGAATCTGGGATAGGAAAAAATTTACCCAGTGAGCAACCAGGCTGCAGCAAGAATGAACCAGATGAAGAAAATAAAAGTCTGACAGAAGAGGTTGAAATAAAGAGAGCCATGAAGCCAAGCTTAGCCAGAGGGAGGAGCAGAGAGCATTATTTCCCAGTGAGACTAATAAGGGTCTAATGCTCCCAAAGCGTAGGGTAAACCAGAAGATAGGTGGCTAAAGGCTGAAGACAAAGGCAGTGACAGTCATCATCAGTGACCATGAACTCCTGACACAGCCATCAGACAATTTTGCAATTACAATTTTTCCTTTGCAGGACAATTTTCTCCAAGCCACTCAAACAAGGAGGTATGTGGGTAGCACAACTGAACTGTATTACAAACATGGTGGAAATTCCACATCCAATCCACTTCAATAAAAAGACATTTATTACTACCTGAAAGTTACTTATCAAACATCATATGCATCAGCTGTATCATAGTATATCCAATGGCAAGGCTGCTGAGTACCTGAATGAAAGGGAAGAGCAGTCCAACTGCGAAGTTGCAGAGCCAGTTGACTGTCCCAGCTATCATGAATGCTGCTGGCCTCTGAGACTGCTGGAAAAACTCTCCAGTGAGGACAAATGGAATCCCACCTGAAAGAGGGCCAAAAAAATCAGTGGGTTTAGAAAACTTCTCTGCAAAGAATTGTTTCTGTTACAGAGATGAACATGCTCTGTGCTGTACATCTCAGTGATTAGCACAGCCCCACAGCTTTCTCCTCAGGTGTGTGCAGGGGCTTTGAGGCCAGTAAAACATAATTTGCCAAATTTGTTCTTCAGAGAAGTGTGACAGTTCACACCTTCACACCACCACATCTCTTATTTTACATCCTTTCACTGATGGAAGGAAACTAACAGAGCAATGAATTCAAACAACAGCTTCCAGAGTACCACATACTGAGACATTTATTAAAAATAACAGTAATTGTTTCTACTAAAATCCTTGATTTTTTTAAAATTCAGAAATAATAAAAAATATTTTTAGACCTTAACAACAGGAAAGATAGCTCCAAAAAGATTAAACAGTATTTTTTGTTAATAATTACCCACTTCATTTTAGCAATAAAAAGGCAAAACATTTGCTCTTCTATTAGCATCCTTTTCACTGATGCTTATTTAATACATTCACTTTCTAGCTGTACGGTTGGCACTTCTGGGAATATTTATTTTTCCCATCAGTCAAAGGCTCTGACCTCCATAATATCAAACTCAGTTGAATACCACATTTGTCACTCATTTTTCCTTCCACTTAGACAGTGGACTATTTTTTACAGCACTGGCATATTGCTGGCCTGACAATACCCTTGGGGAGTAGCTGTCTAGTAGCTGAAAGCCTCAATTTATGGTTTTTGGGTTCCTTCATTCCAATGGGATATTTCAGTAGAAAAAAATATATTTTTATAGAATAAAACATGGATTGCATTTGCTGCTTGGCTATGTATTTCAGTTAATGTTGCACAATAGACATGCATCTGCTTGCAGAATTATTTCACTACAGTTTGAAAAATTGTAAACCTAGTAAAATCAGACAGGCTTTTAGTATTCTGGTGCTACCAGTTTCTTCCTCTACATCCTCATGTCTGCCACTATCATCAACATCACTTAGTTTTGTGAGCAAGATCCACGTACACACATACTGTGCTAGTAATTTCCCTGCTTTAAGCCTTTAAACAAGTTATTGTGTGTAATCAAAAAGCACATTAATGGATATACTTCCTCTCAAAAACCTCTAAAACAACCCTAGCTTCCAAAATACATATAAGTTAAGATAACACCACCACCAAAGACTTATCCATCCACTGGAACTTCTCCTTGCATGTCGTAACTCGAGCTATGTGCTTATCTTCTGCACTACCCTTACTCTTGGACGATTGTGAATACATCTGTAAGTGCTTTATTGCAATACACTGTCATGTAGCCTCATGTGCACTACACTTAAACACATGCACCAGAAGCTGTCCTATGAGCAGCATGAGATAGGAATTGTAAACACGTCACAGACACGCAAATGACACATGGTATCAGATATTCCTCCATTCCAGATCTTTCAGATGCAGAGACTATGAGTATATGCATGAAAGAAAAGCAATGTGATGGAGTAAATGTCTATATATGTTAGTAGACGTCAGCCTCCACCATCTGCTAATGTAACTTTTTGTGAGAACATTTCTACAGTGGTAGCAAAGGCTTCATCTGAACTTTCTGAACCAAAGATTGCCAGTATAAATGTCATCAAAACAGTACAGAGCACACACATTTATTTATGCCTATTTTATAGATAGGAAACTGAGGTATGGAGAGTTTAGGACATCCTAAATCCAGAGGAATATTTTGCTACAAACCATATGTGGCATTTGAATTCTGAGACTAAAAAAAGTGACCTCTCCCAATAGTACTTTGAACACAAAGAGTAAATGGCTGAAGAGGCATAACTCAATTCAAGCAACATGTGGTCTATCAATCCTTGGTGGTTTCCAGGGCCTATTCTATCAGGCACTAGGGATTTGGGTTCAAATGGCAAGCAAAACCACAATCATATCTGTTCTGTCAGCATCTGGTTTAGGTCTGAAATGTCATGTGGGGCTGTGGTTTGCCAGGGCACTTGCCTCTTGGAGAGAGGAACTGAAGGACTGTTAGCACAGAAATCATGTAAGATGACTTATTTATGATAATTTATTCTGTCATGCCTTTGCTGTAAGACAATGTACAGAGGTGTTGCTGTTCTTGTCAGTATAATAAAAAATGCTGTTTGAGACCCATTTGGGAAAATACTCTGTACAAGAGAGGAAAAAAGCCGGTGGCAAAAAAAAGACCAAAAAAATGTACAAAAGGACAGAAACACATCAGAAAGCATACATGTTATGGAAATACAAATGCTTAGATGGTATCTCAGTAAATGTTTCCTTGAATTTCAAAAGCAATTTCTAGATACACATTATTCTTCACTAAAAGTTACTATTAGTCACACGTGCCACAAAAGCTCTTCAGTCCAATTTAAAAAAATAAGCAACCAATCTAGCAATGATAAAAATAATCTTTTACAAAGTCTAAAAAAGCAAACTGAACAACAAAAATTAGCAGATCCTCTGAGATCTTTCAAATTAAGGAACAGAAAAGACTCTAGACTTTCTCCTGACCTAGACAAATGTCTCCATAGCACCACGAAACAGGAGAAACAGTTTCTGAAGAGGAATGATTTAAGAGGAATTATATGGAGGAATCAAGGAGCCTGAAAAGCAATATGTGAGTTATGTGACAGACAGGCCAGGTCTAGAAACATGAGAAACCAAATGAAGACAGGTCATTGCTGTATATTGCTACATCTCTGGAAGAGCAAAAACTTCACCTTACTAGGATGCACAGTAGGGGATGCAAATGCCTGCCAAGAGCCACAATACTGTGAAGAACACACTCCACATCTGAGTAAAGTGAAAAAGCAATTTGGGCAAGCTGAAGGAAAAATGCAAAACCTTAAAACACACACAGTGAAGGCACCTCAGATCAGCTGAACCAATAGCCCCAGGAGTCCATCCTCAGTCATTTCAAGCTCTCAGAGGTCTGCTCAAGAACTCCTTTTCTCCTGAGCTTGCTTCCTTTGAGATAGAAATCTGGGTGTGTGGGGTTGATGGAAGCTGTAGCAAGCTTTAACTACATCAGTTGGATCCAGGCTCCAGAATAATGCACCTCACCAACCACTCCTTACAGAGTCAGTCTCCTTGCAAGGTCTCCTGTATAATGCATAGGCCAGATGGGTTCCTACTGATCTGTGTTCAAACATGGATGTTGGAAACTGCAGCAAAAAGCAATCCAACCAAACCACTGTATTTTTTTAAGCAGTCTTTAAAAACTTTGTAATGGGTTTTGCAACTTTAATATGTGTTTCAACCTGGATGAAATAATTTAACCTATAAACTAACTGACATTCTTTCTCATGGGAAATGAACCTGACAATAACATTTCCCCTAGAGGGTTTTCCACACAGTTTTCAGCAAAACAGCTTTATTTGAGTTCTAGACATAAACCCAAAAATGTATATTAGTATTTCCTATGGGTCTTTTTCATCAAGGTAGCTTCTGAACATTAATTTAAAGAGGTAATGCATTGATCACAATAATTATAATTATTAATTTCTAATACTTTGTTCTTTTCAGCATTGCAGTGAATATAATGGATGCAGCTCTTAACATATTGCAGTGCAATTAAAGACAGATTGTTATATCTGTTATCATGCTACATCTACTGGAAACTACAAATTTCTTATTGCAGGACTTGTATATCCATGGGTTGTTTAATGAAATGAAATTAAGCCCATAAGACACAACTAGACATGCAACAATACTTCTATAACTCTGTCTTTTACTAATTTCTCTCTGTAATTAGTCTAGTCACACTTAGAATCAATGTCATGTGCTGGTAAACATCCAGAATCTCCACCCAATAGTCTTTTTATGCATGAAATTTGAATGCTGGAGCGGAAATAATATTCTTGGTATACATGCTACAGATTTATAAATATATATTGACATTTGCACAATTATCAACGTGTTTTCTTATGAAAAAATATGTAGACATATTTACTTTTCTGTTCAGTGAGCCGTTACAAATAAATACTGCTTTGCAGAGGTTACACAATTAAATGCAAACAGCTGAATACAAAAACCATGAAAATGGAAGGAATATACTGAGATCCTCATTTTGCTTTTATCCAGTGCCAAACTGGGAGCTGAAGTCATGGGTATAAAAATTATTTATGAAATGAGACTGTTAAAAGAAGAAATACTTAATAAAATCAGGGAGATTTATTACATTGGTAAACCACATCTAAAGGTGGTGGAAACTTTGTTCCCTGAGAACCAGTGAAGAGAAAGTAACTCACTCCCTGAGCCAGCAGCTCCTCTTTCAAGACACACTTGAGACAAAACTGAGTGTTCAAGCAGTGGCTCCACAGCCAGCCATGGGCTTTCCAACCCCACCAGGAGGACCACACTAGGCCACGCAGCCCAGTGGCATCTTGCACAACTCAGCACTCTGAATTCTCTCCCTATGGGAGGGAGGATGGAAATCCTGAGCACCCTAATTAAGGCAAGAGTTCCCAGACTTTCCAACTCCATGCTTGGAGAGAAGGAGTCTTCAAAGTTTGATGCTTTGAGAATACATGGAAGTACTTTGCCACAATGTTCTCTTCTGGAAAATAATATGTGCAGCTCTAGACAAGATCAAGCAAAACAGCTATTGACTGCAAGGCAAGGCACGTAGTGAAGAAAGATATAATCTTTCACTATCTTAAGAGATAATGTCCTGTCTCAAAGAAAGGCTTCAGTATTTGTAATTCAAGGGGCAAAAGACAACTCTAGAGGGCAGCTGTGGGAGAGATGCAATGGAAGTGAGACAAAGATCCTGTAAGAAAACTGCTGGAAAAGCAACCCCATATTCTTCAGCAAGAGAGGGAAAGGCTGTTATTTCCTACCTAGATCTTCACTATAAAACAAAACAAAAACCCCCAACCAATCAAACCCTCCAAAATACCCACTAAATCCCATGGGAAAATACACTGCAGGAGTGTTGCCAGTGAGGGATGCAATGCAACTATTGAG